GGTTACATTTAAATTAACTTATTTTGAAAAATAAAGTACGTATTTGAAATTCCCAAATAAATAATAAATAATTCACAAAAAAATACATACCAAAATATACACTACATACTACATCCAATATGATAAACGCAATTTTAAAAGAATGCAATTTAAAAAAATAACTATTCCAGCTCCTTAAATTGTAAATGTGGCCTGCAAAAAGCGCAAGAAAAATTATTAATAATTATATGCATACAAATAACTCACAATACTTTATTTATATATGTGCAAATGCACAGTTCGAATACTAGTTTCCCTAAAAATTGAGCAATATTGAGATCAATCAAATTAATTGTCAATCTCACACAATATAACAATAATTCTACTTGATAATAATAATAGTTATTTCCATTTTATTTTAGAGGAAATAAAATTATCTATAATGATATATGGATTATGGACAGACGCTCAATTTTTTTTTTTTTCCTCTCTCTCTCATTTATTTATTTATTTATTCCCACAAGTATATAAACAAATTACAAAAAATACATTTCAAGATTATAAAAATATCTTTCTTCAGTAGACAAAAAAAGAGCTTATACATTACATCTGATGTTTTCTATTGACACCGTCTATGGCGGACTAGTCAGGGCGAGCAGATTTACAATCACCGCAATACTTAGCCGCCCTCTCATTATTCAGGCCGCCATTCTACCCCTTAAATTGGCCTCCGACGATTTTTCCGGCGAAGAAAACCTAGGTCCGGTCGGATTCGTATCAAAACAGCTCGTGATTTGTTGTTGTGGCTGATGTTATATATTAATGTTATTGTTGATTTTTTTTATTTTCTTTATTTTTTTTTTCTGTTATAGTCTCTGCTACATGGTATTCATCATGATTTTTTCTTTGCGTCTCCCTTTATGCCGCCATTATGGAGTTTCGTTTTTACGCATGTTGATAATGAATTTTCGGGGTTAGTTAGACATTAAATTTGTCATTTTCTGGATTGAATACGAGTTTTTGGGCGGATTAGGATTTGAGTTGTGTTGTTTTTTGAAGCTTTTTCTGTTTGACGTTCATTTGTTTGCCTAATTTGTATGCTGTTCAACTTGAATAATCATGCATTTTAGCAAAGATTGAATTTTTATGAGAAGCGTAGAGGCGTAGTCTGATTATTGTCTCTTATCTTTCATATGATCAGATCAATAATCAGTACACGGAGGCTTTGGCTTGACGAGGCAGGCTCCAGTGGACAATTTATTATTTCAATCTGTTCTCTAGAGAGATCCATGAAAGAGGATATGACTCGATATATCAACTGAGATTGCTACAGATTTTAATGCCGAAGGAATATATATGCTAAGTTATTGGAATAAGCATTAAGCTGTATGGACTCCAGCTCTTATCTGTTGCCACTCGAATAGGAGTTAATGTTGTTATAAACGGATTAGTTATGGAATCCGAGAAGAAGTTTTCCCTTAATGCAAGCGACTACAAATTGTATGAGGAAATTGGAGAAGGTGTCAGTGCCACTGTATATAGAGCTCTTTGTGTGCCTCTTAATGAGAATGTTGCAATCAAGGTCCTTGATCTAGAGAAATGCAATAATGACTTGGTATGCCTCTCAATCCCCCATTGGGCTATTTTAGAGAAACGCAATTTTTGAAGTGAAAATTTAACTTATTTGCTGCCCCTTATCGCCACGTGGCATCTTGCGAGTTTATCTGCACTTTTTTATTATGTGCCTTGCATTGTGGACTTTCTATTTGCTCAAGTCTGTTTCAATCACGAAGGTGTCGCAAGGGAGACTTACCCTTTCTCCATTATTGTATCTTGTCAAAACATGTAATTACAATTTCGCAGATTTTTGTTCTCATTATTTATTTATTGTCTATATATTAATTCGTTAAATGAATAGGATGGCATTCGGAGAGAGGTACAGACAATGATTTTGATTGACCATCCAAATGTCTTGCGGGCCTACTGCTCCTTTACCACCGGTCATAATCTATGGGTAGTGATGCCTTACATGGCTGGGGGATCTTGCCTTCATATTATTAAGTCTTCTTTTCCAGAAGGATTTGAGGAGGCCGTTATTGCTACATTATTACGTGAAGTTCTCAAAGCTCTGGTGTATCTTCACGCCCATGGACATATCCACAGAGATGTAAAAGTACGAGTGTCGCACTTTTGTTTCTTATTTTTTCTTAAAAAGATCAATATGTTTTTGGCTTCATTTTGTTTTTAGTTTTCTCAAGTAGCTACCAACATATAATCACTTTTCAGTTTAGTAATCTTTTATTCCTCTCAATGTTTTAGGTTTAATTTTTCATGGTATGAAATATCCATTTGTCCGTGGATGCCTTGATTCTTTTTTCAATGTTCATGAAGTAATGTGTCTCATGTGATGCGTGGTTGATGTATTTTTATACCTCCAACCTCTCATCTTTCATCTTCTTACTTTAACCTTGGCCAAGCCTTAATTACTTAATTGTTCTCTTTCTTTATTATACATTGCAGGCTGGGAACATACTGATCGATTCTAATGGTACCGTTAAATTAGGAGACTTTGGAGTTGCTGCATGTATGTTTGATACTGGTGATCGTCAGCGTTCGAGAAATACATTTGTCGGAACTCCATGCTGGTAAGTCTTGCATTAATGGAAATATTTTTTAGTGAAGTCATTAATTACTCTCAATGTGATTTCTTGTCTTACATTGAATTACTTTGTTCTTTGATATTATTTACTTTAACAGGATGGCTCCTGAAGTCATGCAGCAAGTGCATGGATATGATTTCAAGTGAGAATCTTTTCTAAAGATTTTATTTCTTCTATCTATCTTCACATGTTTCACAATTTTTGTGTTTGCTTTTTCAGGGCCGATATCTGGTCATTTGGAATAACAGCGCTTGAGCTTGCTCATGGTCATGCACCATTCTCCAAGTACCCTCCTATGAAGGTTCTTTATATCTCACGTGGTTACATTATTTTTTGTCTCGTGAATGTTTGTGGTCTGATCATTCTTCCTCTATGCTAAATGCAGGTTCTGCTGATGACTCTTCAAAATGCGCCTCCAGGACTTGACTATGAAAGAGATAAAAGATTCTCAAAGGTTAATCAACTTTTGGGGAATTTACTTCTTTATCTTTTATGTTGCTGCTGATATACCGTATTTTTCAGTCTTTCAGAGAAATGATTGCTTCATGTTTGGTTAAGGATCCTAAAAAGCGCCCCAGCTCAGAAAAGCTTCTGAAGCACCCATTTTTTAAGAATGCTCGGTCAAGCGATTATTTGTCACGTGCTATCCTCGATGGCATGTCCCCTCTAGGTGAACGCTTTAGGACGCTTAAGGTCTCTTGCTCATCTCATTCTCGCATTTCTTTAACTTTATATTACCAAACTGGAATTCTGCTTCATTGTTTTAATTGACTTTTCTTAGAATTCTAATACAATACGTAATTTTCAGGCTAAAGAGGCGGACATACTTGTTCAAAATAAGGCATTATATGAGGACAAGGAGCATCTATCGCAGGTGAGAAATTAACACCAAGACAGATGGTACTTCTGTACAGGCTGGCATTATTATATCAATTAGATTTTGCTCACTGTCGTCCTTCTTTTTCTATTTATTGTGTCTCAGCTCCTCTAAGGTCCAAACTGGATAATGTTGAACACACATGCAAGCATTATTTTCAAAATAAAAATTACGTCAGAACCATTTTTTTCCATGCTTAATGGAAAATCCGAGGCCCTTTCATAAAATATCTTTAGTTACCTAATGATTTATCATGCCCATATTCTGACAAGTCCATCCTTAAAATGCTCTGATACTGTGTGCAGCAAGAGTATATTCGAGGAATCAGTGCCTGGAATTTCAATCTGGAGGATCTGAAGAATCAAGCTGCACTTGTAAGCCTACTATTTGTTGTTCCATTTGGTAATATATCAGATTTTATAAATGTCAGATTCATTAGCTGTGTTTGCAGATTCAAGATGATATTGGTTCAAATTCAGAAGATTCAAGTGTGAGTGGGAAGCAAATAGATGTGGCGGATGGTGTTTCGCTCACTACCAATAGACCGTATTCTGAGCAAGTTAATAATGCAAATGCTGCTTCTCAATTGGAAGTATGTTTCCTGACGTGAAACAAGCATGTAATTACCGATATATATATATATATATATATATATATATATATATATATGTGTGTGTGTGTGTGTGTGTGTGTGGATTCAATGAGAACTCTTCCTTGTTGTGAGAAACTGGAAACCGATCTGATATGTTAGAGTGGATTCGATGGAAGATGAGATTAGAAAACATTATAATGTTGTTTTATATTCATGCATGCACATATATAAAGAGTTACGTGTGTTGCATCATTGTCTCTTTGGTTCTCTTTTCCTTATCATGTTATTTTCTGCAGGATGAGCTGAATGATGTCGGTGACTTGGAAACTTCACTTCCTTCATTTCCTATGAAACCTCTTCAGGCTCTAAAGTATGTCATCAATTCCTCGACTTATTGTATTTGTACCATTCTGCTCTGCCTTTTGTTGTTGACAATGTTTTTTCTTTATTCCTTTTTCTCGCTCTTTTCC